AATTAGCTTATAATATGGGATTAATTGGGATGATCGAAAGTAGGCGTTTTATACTAACTATTTGTATATCGTTTAGTAACGAGTAATAGCATAAAATCTTGTAAAACCCACAAGAGAAGAGGGTGTAAAAAGGGCCAATCAAATTTTGTAGATCATTCTAGAACTTGGATTTTCAAATCTAGAACTCAATTCCAAATTTGGTATATTCCCGGACTGCATTACATTGGAAACATGGACGAAACATCTTTGTCATTTGACCTGCCATACCCAGTATCTCTTGATAAATGTGGGGCCAAAATAATAGGTATCTGAACAACTAAACATGAGAGGATCTCTTTTACTATAATTTTGGGATATCTTGCAGATAGAAGAAAGCTTCCACTAGTATGCATCTTTAAATTAAAGAATATTCTCTGTGAAATTTTTCCTAAAGATGTCATTATTCGTGTAAATGCAAAAAGGTAGTGCAATGAGGAGGAGATGAAATATTAGATCAATAATATGTGATCTGAGAATAGTGAATTGGAAAACCCCAATCTCTTCTTGTTTTGGATTCATTTAAGGGACATACTGTAGATCCTATTAAGCATGAATTTCACAAAAATAATACCCATTTCGCTGTAATTCTGGGAGGACTAACCAGTAAATTGCAACCTTTTGATATTGCAATAAACAAATATTTTAAGAAAAAGGTATAGTATATTAAAATATTTTTTGTTATTCGTAGAGCATACTAATAGAATAGAGTTTTAAATAATAGATACAATTTCATTATAACTAGTGGATAATCAACAGCCTTCATCAATTTATGCCTGCTAGACGTATTCAAAAGCTATCATATTCCACTTTAGCTTAATAGGTAGGAGAATTATGAGATGAAGTTAATCTCTGTATAATTAGAAAGATATTCAAGTGTTGTGGTATCTTAGTAGCAATGGATGGGTCTGAAGACAATTTGGTGTTTGGTTATAAAGCTTTGGGTAAAGATTTGGAAAATGTGAATAAAAAAAGTATTGAAGAGTTGAATGCAAATGATATTAGTGGTGAGGAGTATGAATAAATTGAGATTAATAATGATTGGGAATAATGATCAATTTTTTTTTTTTTGAATAATAACGCTTGTTGCTAAGTTTTTTTATTCAGTGCAATATCTGCACTTTACAAAAATAAAATTGTGTACTGAATTGGAGTTGTATTGAATATTATAAATAAACTTGAATGGTATCAGGATGTAGAAAGACTTTGTACATATGATAATTGACAAATAATATAAAAAATTTGTCTATTTTTAATACTGAGTTGGCAAAAAGTTTACATAACAAACTGACTTTTATGCTCTAATAAAAATTTTTCTTGTGAAATTTTGCTATAATGTTCTTTATAATAATTTTAATACATGTTATAAATTTAATGATTATTGTGGTTTGCATAATTTTATAACCCTTTTTATTATCATCAAATGATTTTAATTGCAATTGCGATTGCTAAAGCCAGCCAATTTATCATGAATTTGAATTTGTGTCAAGCTCAGATTTATGATAAATTGACTGGCTTTAGCAATTGTGATTGCAATTACAAATCTCTACATACATGATCTTTTGTATTCAATGCATCATTGAATTAGTGGTTCTTATTTTTATCATGTTTATTTTGCCAGTAAATTAATTGTAATTTAATTTAAAACTGGTTTTCTACAACTTTGTATATGTTATATTTAGTATTTAACAATATATTATTAGAAAATATAGTTAATACCCAGGTATAAGTCACAAACTGGTGCTTCAAACTGGCAAGAGGTATACCACATAAGAGGTATACGTGTCTAGATTTTATGGTAAGTGTTTAAGCATAATATGCAGTATCAAGAAGTTCTTGTTTTTTACTTTGCTATTTGCAAACTTGCTTGGGCTCAATGCCAAATTTTTTAGCTGTTGAATACATACTATTAGCATGCTTATAATAATATATGACTATAAGTTTTTTATAGGCATACCAACTTTGGCAAATTTGTTTAATAATGTGAACTTGTTTAATCTGTTTTCTTTTATTTAAAACCATTTTATAATTACTTAAAGAAAACTTTATAGCTCTTATATACAAAGCACTAACAATTTGATTTTATAATCATATAATTGTTAATTATTGTGCGTATAATATCAATTATATATAATAAATTAATTTATTGTACAATGACATCAATTATATATAATAAATTAATTTATTAAACTTTGTAGTAATTAAAATTTTAGAGAGATGCAATTTTCATACAATATACTCTTCTACTTAAGTACCCAGATACAGCTAAAAACATTGTTTTCTGAAATTATACCCCTGATCAATACAATATACTCCTCCTACTTAAGTACTCCAGGTATATCTCAAAACATTATAAATATCCAGATAAATCTAATTTATATGAAGTACTAAAACTCAAGAGAAGATAATTTAGTTATATCTTTGGTATTTTTATTGCTATTAATAGAATAGCTTCAATATTTTTATTATATTTTCTTTTTAAAAATAAACTTATCTGTAAAGAAAGTGAAATTGGTAAATTTTAATGAAAAAAATATTAGAAAAATATTATAAAAAAAACAAGCACTTTTTTTAATTGATACTATTATATCTTGTGCTAAAAACTTTTGTATTGTCTAGGTAGATATTCTTGCAAAATTTTCTCTAAACCTATTAATTTCCATGCATACTTGGTTAATATAATACCAGTATTTAATTATTTGCTATACTATTGTATTTTTTGTATGCCTCTATACAAAAAACTATAAAAAATTTCAACTGTCAAATATAAAAATTTTGAAAGTTTATTTTTAATTGTATCTAAAATTAGATAGTTGTTTAACTTATAATAAAATATATTAGAAAGAAATATTAGTAGTATTTTTGTATAATTTTTGTATTAAAATTTTAAAAATATGATTTAAATATAAAAACAAAATTTAAAATATATATTGAAATCATCAGAATAGAAGAATACAGTATAAATATCTAGTACAAGTAGAATCATATTATTAAAAAAATTTTTAAGTATAAGATATTTAATATTCTTATACAAAGATTTGAATTTTGCTTTAATAGTTAAAAAAATCTCTTGCTAGGTATTATAAAAAATTATCAAAAGAAGATTTATATACCATGGCTTGGGATTTTGTTAAAAAGTTTTTGTTCTTTAAAGATATACTTATATATAGTAGAAAAAAAAGGCTGATACTAAAGGAATACTAATCCTTGACTATTTAGTAAAATATGAAGAGAACTTATAATAAAAAGAAAAGATAATATTTGGTTAGTAATATTTGATAGTACAAATAATGCAAAATTGCTATCTAGAGATGAATTTGTCTAGGCCAATTGGTAACAACAAGTATAACATCTCTTCTCTCTATATATTGTTATATAGATGAAACACTTGTAATAGTATTAATAAATTTTATATATATATTTATAGTATAAAGGTCATTTTTTTATAAATCTACTAGAATAGTGTTTTTTATAGAATAAGTGCTTCATTTTTCTTTTAATCTAGTATTATAATCATGTTTAGTTAGTTCTTCTAATATTATATTGTTATTTATTATCTAAAACTTCCAATATTAATTATGTAATAAACTAAAAAAAATTATAAAATTAGTTTTAATATTTATCTTGATAATTCTGCATTAATTAAGAGAGAGTTGTGAATATTTATATTTGAAATAGCTTGTTGCATTGTAATTAGGTTTATTAAAATTATTGCCAGGTATTTGTATCTAATATGATGATTATATTTGGTATTCTCTTTGTATAGCAATAGACACTGTGATAGTTATTAATATTTAAAACTATTGTATTTTCTATATATTATGCAAATACAAAATCAACAATACTAGTATATTCTTTAGATATAAATGTTTTATGTCAAGTAACTATACAAGACATTATTGCTATACCTAAATCATCAAGGTTAACTATTAAAGAATTAGACACTCCAACAGAATCCAAATACATTGTCACATCACTCTTTATATTATTTACAAACTTGTTATAAATTATACAAAGAAAATAACAAATAAATAAAGCTGTTTTTTTATTCTATTAAATAAATTAGATGATAAATATAATTTCTTAAAAAACAACTTTAACCTCTTACAATATCTTTCTATTCTATAGTTGTCTTGAATTTATCAAATGAATATATTGTTGATTTTTTTTTTTAATCTTTTGCTTATATAAAATGTTTATTAATAATTCTATTGCTTAAGAAAAAGACAAAGTCAAGTTAGTATTTTCAATTTCAATTTTAGCTTCAACAGATCTAATCTCTTCAGAATACTGTCTAAATTCAATTGAACTGTTTATGGCAATGCCATTATAACAGTTTGAACAAACTGTATTGCCTAATTGAAGATAACTTGGTAAAGTATGGTTAGATTGGGCTTTAGAAACTCTTCTTCATTGAATTGATGCTTATTAGCTAATAGTAATAACACATGGTCCAATAAGTCATGGCATATTTTCTCTTTGAGTAGGCACTTTGTTATACTTTTAATATTTTGTACAGCAAAGATTAACACTTTAGAGACTTGAAAATTGAATAAAGTACTTTAAACTGTATAAATTACATATAAATTACGCAATTGATCAAATGATAATTTGATTGGTTAATTATTACGGAAACTCACGGGTAAATCTACAAAAATCAACCAATTAGACGAATGTCTTCTTATGAGTTTTAGGTTCATTCATTTTTTATATCGGAAATTTTCGTAATAGCATATTTTGAATATACCAAATCGATCAGCCGATTTTAAAAAATCGACCGGCTAAGCCGATAATTTTCTTTAGCCGATTTTTTTCACTTTCGGCTAGCTCCAGAAACACACCGATAATGAGTTTACTAGTTCCGATTTATTCAATGAGCTTATTTTCATTTTTTAGATAAAGTACATGTATATATTATAAATTATATAAATTCATCATCTTTTAACAAATCTCGATTCCGAAATTTAAGCTTTTGATAATAATGTTTCCTTATCATCTTGAGAACCAAGATTAACGGATGACAAATATTTAAATTTGGTCTTTAAATCAAAATCTCTTTCATCTGGACAACATCCACAGAAATATGCAAATATACTAGATACTAACAAAATAGTATATAACCACATTGCTAAAAAGTTGATTGTACTGATTACACATGCATTGTGAACTTCTAAACGTGCATAATTTCTAGCCGGGCAAAATAAAGCTACATCACCAACTTTACCGACTGTGTAATGCGTGTAGACGACTTTAATACGTGGTAAAATATGATTGAAAGTATGTTAAAAAAAGCTGATATAGTAGTTCATAGTAAATTAAAAAATATAGGTAAACTTACCTGAAATTACAATCATGTATAACGGTACAAAGCTGGAGAATATTTTTTAAATAGTAAATAAGATGTTAGGGTTTTAAGAAATAAGATCAAGATAAAAATAACATACCATAATTCTTCTATTATCTTAGCCCTTATAATCCCAACACTACAACGACGCCTCAATACACCCAACCATATTAAACCAACTAAAAGTATTAAATATTAACATCATATCTCTATGAATGAAATTGATAAATCAATGAAAACTTACCTGGAAGTGGAATGGACAGGGCTAAATACCTAAAGATAAATTTTCTCAATGACGAAAAGTTTATCATGAAAAGATGTATAAATTAATTAATACTTACATGTACTCAATAATAGGACTACTTAACATAACTGCACTCGAATGCATTTGAAAATACAATATTTTCGTAAGTTCTATGCAAATAATGTTCAATTGAGATCATTATTTTTGTCATATTTTTTCAAAAAAAAAGATCGAGTCCAGCTAAAATTTCTTACCAAGAAGAGGACATATATATATCAGCAAAACTAATGTTGTACCAAATATAACACTTCCAACCCATAGGAAACAATGTCTAAGGGACTCGCTGCCGGACATGGTGCAAGTATTGCTATCTTATTCTTTCCTTCTTTTATGTAATTTAACCCGAAAAAAATGTACATGTAAACCATAATCAGCTCCCTAAACTATTTTTCTAATTATTCGAAAAAATTTTGCCCAAGCCCATTTTCATGTTCAAACATTTACTTTGCTTGCTAAGCCACAATTTGACATCTTGGATGCGCAATAGTCAAGGTTAAAGTTAATCTTATTGAATTCTGCGAAAAAAACAATAAAGATATTAAATGAATAATTCGATGATTGGTCCATTACTTCAACATTTTTACAGTATTTAAGACGGTCTTTCATTCAATTTGACTCATATTCCAGAAATAACTATTATTATCGTTGTTACGTGTATATAAGTGTTTACACCTGGCTTTCGATACACTGCCGTGAGAAAAATATTTTATAATCACCATTATTAAACTGTAGCCATAAACAAACAAAAACATACTAAAATATAACTAATAACTTGCTTAGACTAAAATAATTTGGATTTTTGGATTTTAATTATTTTAAGTAGCTATTATTATTTATTTACAATATATAGAAACTTTTCTAAATGCGCTAGTTTGAAACCTTGCAAACAATTAGGAAGACTCGGTTGACGAAATGTTTTCAAAATTCAAATTTACGATAACTTTATAGAGTTATCAGTCCGTCGTTTAAAAAATTTTTCTAGAATATCACTAATGTTTAGAAAAACGTATTCAACCAATTCGATTACTGATATACTGTACTGTAAAGTACGTTCGTTTCATTATTTTTACCTTCATACGATAACGATAAATATTGCTGTTCGTCAGTTGTTTCTATCATTTTATCATATTAAATAAATTATGTGGAGCTTTTTTATTATTTTTATTATGATTTAGTAGCATTATTGGATTTCTATGTAAAAGTCTTTAGCGTTAGTTTTAGAAAAAAAAAAAGATCAAGAATTGGGTAAACAGTAAACAACATATAATCTATGGGGCAAAATAATACGTATAACATTGCTATACAAAATCGGTAACGTTACAAAGAGAGTAGCAATTACTCGTTATAAAAGAGAACTATTTAACAAGTACTTCATAATTTTGACAATAGCTACACAATGCAACTGCAATTATTTTAACAATGTATCCAAAAAAAAAAAAAATACTGATAATAAATAACGGTATTTATAGAAGGAGTTTATCTCTGTTAATAAATTTTTTAAGCGGACAAAATTCGTTTATTCAAGCAAAAATCCACCTTTTGTATCGTAACGAATATAATCATTGCTGATTTCTTCCATATCTATGTTATCATCTTTAAATTTTGTACCTTCGGTTAAAATGTCACCCCCACTCTCTTCAAATATAAATCCTCCTTCGGTGTCATTGTAACTATTATTATTATCATCATTAGTGTCCATTATTACATCTGAATCGCGCTCCGTATCATGATCATTTAAATTTGAAGCGACATTATCATTATTCGAATTATTGTTAGTATAGGTTTCGTCTAAATCATCTTCTGAACTAGAAGATTCTTCATCGTTATTATTAAAATTAGTGACAAAATTGTCAACATTATGGCTAGATTCTTTTTCTTCGTCCGTGTCTCCATGGTACAACTCATTTTCTTCATCTTCATCATCTTCAACTATAATTTCCTCTTTTCCATATGCTTCTTGTAACCTTTGTCGTATTTGTAATCTAGTTATTAATTTTCTCCATCGAGCTAATACTTCTTTTTGCCTTTTTGCTTCGTTTGCTGCTGCTACACTCTCTGAATGTTCTCTCCATGCCTGCATAATATTAAAAAAAAACTCAATTTACAGAAATATTAAGAAAACAAACCCAAAGTGTATTTACCTCCATTAATATTTCACTATGCTCCTCAGGAACAACAATTCCATTTACAACAGGTATACATCGACGTGATTGGAAATCAAAACCAACCTTAAAGTATGTAACATTTTAATTAAACGTGTCAAATAATTATTAAAATAAAAATAAACAACGTATACTTACCACAGCATCGCCATAATCAATATCAAGTTTTTTTGCGATTTTTCCTATACCATTTACTAAAAAAAAAAATCCAACAATTTTAACTAAATATTACATAAAAATTATATAACTGGCTATACCATATTATAAGACTTACTAGGAATATGGGCACCACCAGCAGGACACATGCTTGGTTTAAACATATTAACATTTCCAAACTGATTTTTCGGAACTTTTCCCTATAATTCATAATTTGATATCGAAAAAATATTTGAGCAAAATTTTTTTATATACTATAATAAATAACTAATAATTATTAAGATTAATTCTATAAAATTTACATCAATGATTGGTTCTGATTTATACTCTTCAGTTTGCCATTCACCGTAAAGAGCTGATTCCGGAGGTTCCTGATTAAATAACTCTGCCATATTTGCTGCTCGACGTTTCGCCAAAGTAAATACACGGGATTTCACATATTTAACTGGCTGTTGCCCTTCCTGACAATTAATTCAACAATGAATCGCAATAATAAAATTGTATACTTAAACCATAAAGTAATAAGTTCAATAAATTCAATTACCATCACTTGACGGCCTTCTCTCAACCATGTTTCAACAGTATGTAACTAATATTATAATATAAAAATGTTGGGCAGAATGAGTATCTCTATAAAAAAATATACAGTATATATATTTTTTGTTAGTCATAGTATAATAATAACCTGTTTGACATTCTTTCGCGGATAGATTGGTTCGCCTTTGATATGTCCGATAATTGGTGTTGTTGGGAAAATAATTTCAAATTTCTTTAAATGGCGCTCGAGAGCATATCTAATTATATTATCTCTTTATAGTAACTATTATGTTTAATATTCATCTAAACCAGGTGTTATACATACAGCGGATGATTAACAAAATGACTAATAGTTGTAGGAATACGTTCAGAGATTTCCATGTTATGTAAACTAGAGTCTTCAATTTTATCTTGTTCCTGTTTAAGAATGATTGATATTAGTATAATAATAAAAATAACAACAATATTATTATTATTATTATTATTATTAACTGCCATCAACTTACCCTCTCACACGGACGAGCAAAATACACCAATGTTTCATCCCACCAATTCTGCCCGTCTTTGTCAGGTATGCGTAACTTACGCGTTCGAGCACCCCATTGCGTCGCATATCGACGAGTAACATCCTTTAAATAACCATCTAACAAATATTTTGTATTTTTTTGTATAAATAATGGCTTATTATCGTAAGTATTGTTTTTTTTTTTTTGAAAAAAGGCCTTACCTTCTTCATAAGCAACAACATATGCCATAACATTATCTTTTTCAGTTGAAGGGGGTTCCAGTGATTTTGGAGCATTAACCCGAGCGCGAATCGGATCAACACATATCCATTTTTTTTGGGTCGCGTAATATACTTCGCACCAGAAAATCGGAGTAGCATCAGGATCAAATACATCTGTATTTAGAAATAAAGAATATTGTAACAAATTGAATATAATAATCGCTATCGCTAATTGAAGTACATTGTTGAATACGTACAGCGACTAGATGATTCCGGTTGTATATTGTTAGAGGTACTCTGTGATCTGCGAGAGCGGACAGTGGGCCTCTTTTTAACAGTAGGAACATAATCATCATCTGGATTGATTTTCTGTTTATCATCATTATTTTTAACTTTATTGGACATTTTGAATTTTCCAAGACCGAGTATTCTCTGAACATTATTATCATCATGCACATCTTTTTTCTTTGATTTTTCAGTATCTTTTTCAGAATTTTTTTGAGATGAATCATTCACTCGCGTAACCTTGAATGTGACAACTTGCAAAGAAAACACCAAACGAGCAGGAATTCCCAAAGACCTTAATAAAGCAACAAATAATTGTACGGATGTATCGCAACTTCCGTTTCCGTCTTGAAGGCTTTTGCGAAAAGAATCGATTGAAGGGTGATATTCACAAAATGATTCATCAATCTAATATATATAAGAGCACCATTACATGTTGGACTCGCATGTAAATTGCCTGCTCTTACTAATACATATTACCCGATTTAATAATAAATGTTCCAACCTTATTATTACCATTAATTCCGACGTTATTATAATCCCTTGAACGGATTCCAGGTTTCGTGATTTTAAAATATGATTTCCACCATCTAACCAACTCTTCTAATGCTGTAATTAGTGTAAATCTCCCTCTTGAATGTAAAACTTGATCAAAAAGAGCTAACATATCACGTTCAATTAATGAACAAGCTAAAGCCTAATTAAATTAATTAACATGAAAGTTACAAACTTTTTTAATAAGAAATTATATTATAATAAACGTTTAATATAATTTAAATAATTAATACCTTTATCAAATCGTCATTACACCATTGATTTCTAATTATACCATGAGTAAGAAGTGTTAGCAAATGAGTTTTATGAATATTTTGTCGTATGGCTCTTTCTATTTTAGTTATCCCTTTTGGTCTATAAAAGTTTAAAAAAATGTAAACATTAAAGTTATAATCTTTTTTTAAAGTTAACATTTTGATATCCAAAGAAGAAAATATCTTACTTGTATTCAATCTTGGGAGCTTTGAATGTAATTTCAATTGTCTCATTCGGAATTGAACTAACTTGCAAATCAGATAAATCTGATGTAACTAGAGGCAATTTAAAATAATAAATGTGTGTGTGTTTTTTTTTTTTTTTTACAAATCATCGTTGATAATGACTCACTATTGCTATATTGTGACAAATCAACTTCCTCCCATTCGTCACTATTGTC